CTTATTCACTTCCTCTCTCCTCCTCTTCTTCTCCCTCTTCATTCTCAACTTCCATGCTAACTTTTGCTCGTCTTCCCTCTTTCTTCGTTCCATTGGGTCTGTCATGGCTGCTAGCTCAGCGGCCAGCGCAGCCTTCTCATCCTTAGTCACATAGGACTCCGCCTCCTCGTCTTCCCCCAACGATAAATTAGCGACCCACTCGCTGATCTTCTTCTCCAGCTCAGTATCTGTCTCCCACTTCATCGTGCCACCACTGCTCCCTTCTCCACTCTCAATTCTCATTCTCTCTTTCTCATCTTCTGCTGCCGCTTCTGCTTCAGCAGCCTTCCTTCTTTCTTCCTCCTCCTATTGTACCCTCTTCATCTCCTCCTCCAACCTCTTCATCTTCGCCGCTTGCTCATCTGCGATAGCCTTTAGCTTCGCCTGCTTCTCGCGCTCTTTTCTCTCCTTGTTCTCTCTGACTAAGGCGGCCATCTTTTCTTGCTGCTCCTTGCTATAGGGGTTAGTCTCTAGCCCAGTACGAGTCTCCATGGTGATAGGTGCACAGTCAGGATGATTCCACTCCTCACCACGTAGACTCTAACCCCTGACGGACAAACCTGTAGACTCAATTTCAGAACCCACAGAATCCTGACAAGGACCCTGTCAACTATGGTCTCTAGCCTAGACCTACACTATGGCTGTCACTACTGAACCAGTGGCTGATCAGGAGACATTTAAGGAGAACCCCCGTAACTCCTCAAGAATTCTTTAACGTCGCAGACAGGACGACGTGATCAGTTTGGTTCTGCCTGTGTTTTCAGCCCACAACTCAGCCTTTCCAACCTACTGTGCCACACCGAGCAGCCCGCCGGTCTGTACCGGTCCTTGGGAGGGTTTGACCTCCGGGACAGTCGAGTCGTCAAACATAGATCCTCAGCCTTACTTGGTCCGGTAGGGGAGTGGTTCCAACAGGCCCTCAACACTTAAAGACGGCCTCCGTTTCAGCCTGCAGCTCAGAGTTCGGACCCTCTACACTGAAACTGAGCAGACCTGCCGGACAGTACCGGTCATTGGGCTAGACGAGTTGTTTAACGAGCGCTCGCCGCTCATGCCCAGGTCCCTAGATACCAGAGTAGAGATTAGACTGTACTCAGCAAGTACCAAGGGGTATGTGCACATCCATAGGGCAAGGGGCAGGCTAAGGGCTTGGCGAGATGTTACCAACTCCAGCTTGGTCAAAGTCTTGGTCAACGCCTTGGTCAACTCCGGTCAACGCTGATATGACCCTCGGTCAACTTCGGTCAACTTCGGTCAACTCCGGTCAACGACTCCGGTCAACCCTCTCAGTCAACTCCCCGGTCAGCTATGGCTGCCAGCACTTCTTCCTCGCCAATCCCCTTCTTCTTCCCTACCTCCCTCGCCGCCTTTCCCCCGCTTTTCTTCTTTCTCTTTTTTTTTTTTTTTTGTCGGCCTTTTCTTCACCTCCTAGCTATGGCCGCTTCTCTCCCTGCTCGGTCTCTCCCCCTCTGTCCTTCTCCCTCCTACTTCGTCACTCCGTGGTACCGGCTCTGCGGCTATGGCCGCTGTCTTTCTTCTTCGTGGACTGCGCAGCAACTTCACCGGTACGTAACAGCCAATCTTGTATCGCTCATCTCTCTCTCTCTCTCTCTCTCTCTCTCTCTCTCTCTCTCTCTCTCTCTCTCTCGCCGTAGTGGTATCTTCAGCGCAGCAGGTACGTGTAACCCAATCTTGTATCTCTCATCTCTCTCTCTCTCTCTCTCTCTCT